AAGCTTGGTGGCGATTCGCTGGGCGACGGAAGATCTTTCCTTCTAACTGTCGGCTTTTTGGTAGGTCTCATACGATTAGTAAGCCCGCAACTATCGATAACAGCTGGCGGTAACATCTTTTGACCAGGTACGACGTTGTTCGCATGTGAACCTGCGTCGTTTTGCAAAAGATTTACGAGTAACGGGCTGGACAGGGCGACTTGATTCCCACTACCGTTCGAACTCCCTGCTAGATTGGTACTGTTGTTTGGTGACAGACTAGATGTTGTAGCGATCGTGGACTTGTACTGATTCGTCAATTGTCCGACGGTAACGACCGGTTGAGTCGTCGTGTGACCGGTCGTCAGTGCCGTAACTGTCGCCAAATTCTCCTGAGTGGGATAAGGAGGTGGAGGTTGCGTATGGTGCTTGAACTGCATCGTGTTCTTAATTGATGTGGTCTGCAATTCACGATTGTGTATGGCTTGTGCAGCATGTGTCATACTGGTGAATGGGAAAGGGCCGTTATAGTTGCTCCTAGGTGATGCACTGGGATTAACTACTTGTTGGTTTCCTGAGACACCGACATTACTCGCTGATGTGGACTGTACTGTTTTCGCGAGAAACGGTGGAATGGGATCACCGTCTGGGGGCGCGACTACATTCGGAGAACGAAATTGTGGCGTCTTCTCCGACGACGATCCTAAAAAACGAGAATTTTTATGTTAGATTCTATGACTCAACTGTGTTTTACATATTATATTTTCTACCAATTCTGTTTGACAACTTATGGACATTTATATATACACACGCACGCGCGCACACACACATACACACACATATATAAAAGCTTACCAGCTGTTATTATCTGAGTGACATTACGTAGCGCTGACGAAATGGTAGTAGCGTTACTAGGACCAGGCAAAGCTGTTGAAGGATTAGTGTCAGCAGTGGCTGTATTCTTAGTAGCGTCGCCTTGTGGCTTTGCTCCGCCATCTTGCGTGGTACCCGAATGTAGCACTATCTCTTGTGCATCTCCACCAAAACGACTGGCGATCCTCAAAGATATTACCTGTGAAAAAGTATAATGAATATAATATTTTAATAATAATATTTACATATGTTGTAATATACAAAAACAATATTATTAAAACATTTATAATATAAATTACCTGATCTCCTTCGACTTGGACTGAAAGTATACCAAGTTGTGTGAGTGTTGGAGAACCCTGAGCTGCCAACTCTCGAAGCCGTAGAGCAGCTTCTCTGGGTATTGAAAATGTCACCCTCACAGAATTCCATGGTTCTACCTTATCCACTCTCAAGTCTTCTCCCTTCTCTGCAAATTGTACAATAAAACAAATATAGTATTATTTGGTAATAATTATTATTTAAACAAAAATATTATATTTTCACAATTAAATCGTATATTAATCAGATTTACCTTTACTAAGCAAAACTTTGAGACTGTCAACAATGGTGTTAAACTTTTCAGGAAACTCTGGGTCTCCAAGGTCACCCTCACAAGTTACCACCGTTTCAATCAGATCACCATCACTATCTGCCGCCATGACTGTAATGTTCATTATATTTCAGTAACTGTGTAATTAAGTAAAAAAGAGAATGATAATAATAAGAAATATAACAATGAACATGAAATATATTGAGCACAGAATGATAATAAATATATTAATTCTAATATTCTATATAATGAATTCTAAAAGTTTATAATATTGTTAATACTAATAAAATATACTATTTGATACTATTTGATTCTTTGGTGATAAAGAAGTTTAATTTTAATGTAATTTGGAGAAGAGTCATGAAAAGACCAAAAGAAAGAGGTTAGGAATAATATTAAATGTACAGAGATTCAGGAAATGGTTTACTCTATTCATATGAAAGTATGTTATGGATACTGGATCACTAGATATATTTAATAAAACTACTCACAAAGTACAATTGTGTAATTAAAATATAATTAGCAATTTGATATTTAATTAGATATATATTTATGCAGATATATATTTATATTTAGCTTTTTATTCATATTAGCTTTTTATATATTATATTAAATTCCTTGTGAAATAAGCTTCTCAATAAATTTATTATTAAAAACCATAAATCTAATAATTTTAATTGTAAAATCAAGATATAAACTTAATGATATTCAATAAACTTTGTAAACTAAATCATATTAGGTATGTTCTACTTTAGTATATATTTAATATGCAATATACACAAAGATATAATTTATATAAAAAAAATATATATATATGTATATAATGAAAAGTATATACATACCAACCACAAATCACATAACTACCCAGGGAGTCTAGGAACGCCTCAGGGTGTTGCTCCAATATATGTCTGATGAGATATTGTCTGTCAGTTGCGTACCGACAGCTCCAAATCACACCAGCACTAATAATCTTGCTTACTGTTAGACAAATAAGGAATTGAAATAAATAGCCTGTAGAAAAAAGTATATTTCATTAACTTGTTAAAACATATTCTCTTATTAAATTGTATTGTGCATATAAATTATATTGTATTGTGCATATAATTAAATACTGTTAAAGAGTACCACATGCTTAATACATAAGGATAAGATATGGATACAAGGTATAGTCATAATTTTGACAAAAGTATAAATTTACATTATATATAATATATAAGATATATAATCTATAATGTGTTAGTCCAAAAACCTAATACAATAGAGTACATATTTAAATATAACAAAAGAAAAAATAAAATTGGGAAATATGGATGACAGCAAGATGTTAGAAATAATTTCAGAAATATTTAAAAAATATAAAATATGTTTATTGCATATAATTTTATTAATGCATCAAACATAAAATATATGCATAAAAAATGCAAACTATTAGAAATTCCTACTTTTATTTTTTTTATTCTATAGTCAAAATCATTGTAACTTAATAATAAGAAAAAATAAAATGCAATGATCACATATACTATATCGTTAATATGATATAACATTATGTAGTACAAATATCAGCTGCAATACATAAGTATTAAAAATATATATATATATATATATATATATATATATATATATATATATATATATATATATATATATATATATATATATA